ATGAATTAAAACTTCGGAGTTATAGACAAAAATTATGAAATTGAATTGTGCGACATCTACTGTTGCATAGTTCTTTTACGCTCTGAAATGCGTGAGACTAATTTTATTGAAAAAATAAAAAAGCAGTTTGAAAGAGAATTTATTTTAAAGTATTTCCATCGTATTTTTATCCTCTGATGCCTCATAAAAACTAGAAAGTGCATTTCGACATTGATTCGATGACTCATCTGGATGTGTACATAGACTATATATAAAACAATAAAATGTTATAAAAGTAAATTAAGAAAGAAGAAAAGATGTTTTATAATTATTGTGATTGAGCATAATAATATGCAGTTTAAACAAAAATAAAAAAATTCAAAAGTTATTTTCCTTTTTCGATAGACATCTCTTCATCATGTAACTCAATCAATTGATCAAATAAATTATGAAGACACAGAAAAGAATGTTCTTTGGGAAGGAATTGTATTAGTTAAATCAATATTGAACTTAACCTATACCAATATAAAGTATAACTTCGAAATATTAGCAAAGATTTTTCATTACTAAATTCCTTGACATTCAATGTGATCTTTATGAATAGAATAGAATAGGATAGATAGATAAATAACATTAAATTAATATTATTTCTTTTTTTGCTTTCAATTAAAGATATTTATTTGATGAAGAGGCACGAAACGAACGTCATTGATTATTAATAGCAAAAAGAAAAGAATCAATTGTTGTTATGTTAGATTCTAATTGATTAGAATATCTTTTTCATCGAACAATATTTTCTACATTAAACATGAAATGTAATCCATAACGTTTGCTTAATCTTTATGCATTAGCATGAGTAGATCGATTAGGAGAGTTTTTTTTTGTTATTGAAAATTTTGAATTTGTTCATGCACCTCATTCATATTTTTCATCACTGGTAAAGAGTTTTTCCTTGTGTTTTCTTTATTAATCAGTTTATATTATAATAAGTGATCTTTCACATAATGTTAAAACGTGTTATCATCCATTACTACATGAATAAATATTCAACTTATTTTCATTCAACAAGATATTTATATATTGATTTATTTAACGAATGGAACATAAATAATCGACTTCTCCAATATTTTGTGTGTATCTCAGTCGAAGTAAGATTTAGAGGAACGATTTTTTTTTGAAAAAAGTCTCGTTTAATTCTCTACAAAATTGTACCGTTCAGTTGAATGAAAAAGCATTCGCTGTGTTTTAATATACAATGTAACAAATTTGTTTAAAATAACCAACTGTAAAAAAAAATTAAAGTTTTTTTGTTAAACTTCGTTGATACACATTTGAATTATATTGATTAATATTTATTTGAACCGATAACCGAACACAGATCTATATCTGATGAAGTAATCAATGAATGAGAAGCTGCTTTATCATTATACTGCTATAATAAGTTCTGTATCATAGTTTTATTTCGACATTTACAAGCTTTAATAATTCATATAGATGATCAATTATACTCCATACTCCCAGGAATTCTCAGTAATGCACGTATGCATTTGATAAGTGAAATGAGATTCTCAATAAATCGTTAGAGTTTCAAGGTATCGAAATGATATCATAATGAACAACTTCCTATAGAATTCTAGTCGCAAGAGTGATTTAATTCATTGATGATTATATTCATTAACAAAGAAACAATTTAACTTTTGATATCTTTGACTACTTCATCAAATCGAGATTTATGTTCGATTGTTTGTTGAGAAAAATAATGATCAATATAATTCAAACGTGTCTCATGAAAATTTAAGAAAAAAAGGTTTTTGAACGAAGATCACTTGAAATAGTTGACTTATATCGTATACTAAAAATACCAAATGCTTTTCTGGTCAACTGAAAGGTACACTTTAGTCGAGAATACATCGTTCTTTGTTTCACTCGTTATATTCGTAATGGAATTAATGATGATGAAAATAAAGAATCTTTAATAAATCAAAGAGCTTAGACAAAATATTTGTCACGAAAAATTGTCAATAGAAATGTATCTTATTTACACCTCACATCATGGAAATATAAGAACTTTATTTTTTATTTTAAATCTTCTATTTTAAGATCTAATTTAACATCAAGTCTGTATTACTTTTACATGAAGTTTATAGTAAATTATTAACATTAAAATATACAAATCAAAATAGAATAAAAGAATATTGTAATGTTTCGAAACTTTCGCTTTCTTTTTGTTCTGAGAGAAATATGCAAAGGTTCGGAGTCAAAACAGGACTGTTAACTTTCAAAACCTTATTCATCCCGATAGAAAAGTTAAAAACAAAAGCAGTCGATTTAGCCACTTATACTGTTTGCCAAAATTGAACACAGAACAGAATACAGTAACTCATCCTATGATGTCGTCTACTCCCATTGATGCGGCATAGACTGATAGTAATGAATACAAGTTTAATATAAAGAAAGTTTACTATATAGTTAAATTAATATTTGAATGTGAAAGTTAACAGCTACAAACCAATAATTGTTTCATGTATAATTTTAAAAACAAACTTTCCGTTCTAATCGAACATAACTGGATCCATGCATTTGATATCAGCTATTTCCATAAATATCAAAATTCCTTCGTTTTTTTTCAACCATTCAATACTTTTATAAGAAAGGTGAACTTATCTTTACCTATAGTAGCTAGACAAGATCTTCTTTACATTTCTTTTGAATAAATTATTATTTACAACGATTATATATTGTTTGAAACCAAAATGAAACAAAATACAACATGATTGGTAATTCGATTTGTACTTTCTAGGATAGATAATAAATTTTCTATGCTTATTTCTTCAAGATTTATCGGGCGAAATAATATCTCTAATTTCCATTGACGCTTCCAGTAATCATACAGTATATCCTGGTCGAAATCGTGTTTCTCGTAGAAAAGGAGAGGAATAGTTAAATGTAACTGAATACTATCGCAGGTACCAGCATAGAATAGCAGACGATGAAAGTGATGATAGGACGAGTTATGGGTGAATGAAAATCCTTCAAGTTATTAAATAAATGCTGTTCATTTTTTTTACAGAAGTGTCGTTTTACTTTAAAATACAAAGAAATTTTAAAACTTATTGGACCGCTAAGAATATGAGATGAAAAAACATGATGCAAATTAAATTCTTTATTGCTAAAAAGTTATTCAATACTAACTCTGTTATATAAATAATTAGTTCAAATGAACAATGTTAGAGAACAGCAAAGAAATAATGCGCTGCACATGGCGTCCTCTATCGACTCAAACTCGACAAAGAGGATTGTTTCGTAAAATGATTCGCAGTACAGTGTAGTATATTGTGTCCCTCGTTTCTTTCTTTCAATTTGTCTGCTATTCAGTCGAGCGAAGAAAAACGTTCATACATGTTCAAAATGAAAGTAGGCTTTTATTTATCTGAATTCTTTTAACTTTGGCTTTTCTTGAAATTTTAACAATTGTGCGTGTGTTATATGACATAGATATATGAAATTGAACTTTCTTTGTGATTGATAGCCTTTTCGTTCTGAAATTCAATTTTTTTTTACATAGTCTTAGTATTTTAACCCCGTTTCAGAATAAATAATATGAGACCGCAACAGCCCCAACAACAACCGTTGCAACAAATGCATGTTGCAAATGTACAAGTGTGTAGTTTTTGCTGGTTATACCGAAATAAATAGTTTTTTTTTGCATGTAGTGACAAAAAAAAAACGTTTTTGCATGTCAAAACTTGAATGAAAAAAAAAATTTTTTTACAATGAAAAACAAACGTTTTGTTGTCGGAGAACAATTTAGATAATATGTCCTCATATTGATAATAAAATTGTTTCATTTGTTATTTAGAACACGGCAAATGGTGTTCCAACAGCACCACCACTCGCTACATTTCTTCAACAAACAATTAATGATTTACAAAGGGATAAGACAAATTTAACCCGACAAGTCGAACAATTAACACAAGCTAATAATACTCTACAAGCTGAAAGTTTACGAATTAATGGTCAATATGAACAATTACGACACGACCATGAAGAACTAAAAAAAAATTTTCATATTCTTTTGCTCAAGGTGAAGATCCTTGAAGAATCAAAACAGGAACCTAAAGGTAAGCTGGTCGTGAACATTTCCTAACAATTGAAAACTAAATTTAGAAAAAGTTTCGTGTACTCATTCCTACTTAGCTGATAAAATTTAGATAAAGAATTTTTAGCTTTGTTAAATAAAAACATAAAATTTTTATATTTGCATCTGATACTTAAATCTTGCTTCCTTTTACAAGTTTTTACAAAATAATAACAAAAAGAAATGAATATAAAAAGGATAAGACATATCAGAAATTTTGAATTAAATTTTAATTAGTAAAAGAAGCTTTGAAAAACAAACATGATGAAAAAGTAATGGAACAAATGTCGGACCCTGTTTTTCTCCGATAGCAAGGATACTGAAGAAAACTTTTTTACCAAAAGATAGAGCTTCTTCTCCTCTTGCGATGTGCATATAAATCATTTTTATAATATGTTCACAAACCAAACTACGTGACAAAGAAGAGAAGCCACCTAAAAAGTCTGCACCTCCATATAAAAGGGCTGCCTAAAATGTCAATCATTATATCTCGCTGATAAATAAATCCTGAAACGAATATTTTTTTGTCAATCGATAAGAAATATTCTTCTCTTTCGAATAGTTTATGACTCATACTTGGCATATATTAATAAGTGAAATGAGATGAGAAACAAGAGAAACACCCACACAATAAATTCATAAATTTTATATGAATTCTTCAAAAATATTTTGTACACAACAGTTGTATAACAACTGACTATCGTTTTACAAGATGTTTTGAACGAGTTCATAAAAGTCGAAGTAACCACAGTTTCACAAGACTTTTTTTTACGAGTCCACAAAGATTGCATTCATTGTCATCTAACAAGATGTTTTTGATGAGTTCATATAAAAATTGTAAATTCGTTTTGCGAATGTTTCTCTTTTTGTCTAGTCTGATTTCATGTACGAATGTGTGACGAATATAAATATTACACTATTCAAAAGAGGAGAAAATTTCCTATCAACTGATAAAAAAATATTCGTTTCAAAACATGTTTATCAAAGAGTTATAGGAAACAATATTTTGCGTTGTTTTTCTGAGTTTGACGAAAAATGCGGATTCTTTTTTGAGAGTGCTCCTCTTTTCTGTTGTGTCGTTTCGTTTATGAGTGTGTTATGAAACAAATTATGTACGAGTCGAAAGAAAAGAAAACGCTCTATCTTTTGGTTAACAAATTTTTGTTTCAGTATCCTTACTATTAGAGAGAAACAGGGTTGAACATTTGTTTCATTACTGTTGCATCATGTAAATTTTCGATGAAAAACAAAATTCTTTCACCTATTTCATCTGAGTACTTACAAAAATAAAATTTGATAAGTTTTTTGCTTTTTAGACGGCGGTGGTAAAGGAGATGATAATGGTACGGGAGTTGGTGGTATTCGATCATGATTGTGTTAATGATGTTAAGTTTTTGTTGTTGTTGGTAACAGATATTCATCTATCCTCTAAAACTGTAAATTTTTTTTCTTATGTTATTTTCTTGAAGTTACGTTTATTTTTGTTCTGATGGTTCAATAATAATTTTTTTTCTTGTATCATTTTCTTAAGTCAGTTAATTTTCTCTTCTGGTGGTACAACAATAAATCTTTTCTTGCAGTTGATCATGTATCAAATACATAAATCAAACAAATCATTTTCTAAGTTTACAATTATCTTTAGACATAGAGAATTTTTCGTTGGTTAGACATGAACCAACAATGTAGCTGAGTCATCAAATGGACAATAACTCAGCTGTACTTTCTTTAACATCCTATCTCTAGCTAAATTTTACTACAAAAACAAATATTTCATCAAAATTCAAAATAATCATTTGTTTTTCAAATAACTTGTTATGAATTTATACATACTTTTTGATAAGTTCAAAATTCAATTTAGAGTGTTTGTCAAACGTTTTTTGAATTCAAAAGAATATGTTTGAATTTTCAGAATCAGATGAACACAACAGTGGCTTCAGAGTTTAGTGTATGATACAAATAAAATGTGATAATTTTTCAATAGGAAGACATTTCGATTCCAACAACAGCAGATTATAATTTGTTGCTCGGTTTTTGACTTGTCTAAATATCTATCTAACAGCACTACCTTGTAATACGCTGTGTTTATGCTGTTTTTTTTGTACCAAGACACTTTTCACACGATGCTTTTAAAAAAAATTTGAAACAAACATGTTTCTTTATTCAAATGGATTTCCATGAAATCTCTGGTTTTTAAACTGACTAACCGAAATCATTCCAAACAATGAATTTTTTTTATTGAAACAGCAAATATGGACATTGATAGATTAATATAAAATACTATATTAACAAGATTTTATCTTTTCCATATCTTCTAGTCGAGTGATAATTTTTCTTTTTCGAATGTCGCAAAAATACTTTTATCTAATTATTATTTGTATTTTTTAATGACTAGATATTCTAGTTGCCACTTCACTTGCTTTTTATGTATAAACAATATGCCTCCAAATTCGTATACAACACAACCTTTTCTCTAAGAAGCGGATCTACAACAACATTTAGTTCATCAAGTAGTAACAATTGTGGTTGTTGAAGCAAAGCACATCCTAATGATACACGACGTTGTTAACCACCACTTTACAAAAACAAAATAAATAAACTTTATAAATCAAATTTCTCTTCAAACCTTAATTGAATAATCTTTTTTCTACGTGAAGGTAAATCAAGAAATGAAAGAAGAAATTCTTCTCGTGATAAAATATCTGATCGATTCATATTATGAAGATGACCAAAATAATGAAGCATTTCCGATA